ATGCAAAACCTGAAAATCCTTACAATACTTTTGAAACCATTAATCAAACGCTCACTTTGCTAAGAATTTTGATCATTTGGTTGAGGAAAGAAGTATACAGGATTAGAGTTTCTCGCTGTAACTCTTTCTGCATACATACTCTTACACTTTTCTGTGCACATCACCATGAATGCTTAAAATGAATAGAGATCGCAAAAGACACATTTTGTCATAAAAAAAAAAAATCAGATCTATCTCTCTAGATAGATTTAGCTAAAAAGCATGGAGGTAAAATTCTGTTTACTATGCGAATGCTGATAACAACTGCAACACGATAGCCCAAACTGATGTCTTGTGTTTTTTTTTCCAAACCTCCTCTGTAACATTTATTTATTTATTTAAACTAATGACATGAGTCAAATCTTTAAAATCAGTGAATGTTGCCATTCTTATGTGCTGTCATGGTGCTCCTTTACCTTGTCTGGCAAGCTAATGATGAGTTCTGCATCACCAGGTGACCAGCTGTGTCTCAGCAGAGTTTGCAGGAAGTAGTGGCTACAAGCTGCAAGGACAGCCCTGTGTGCTCGTAGCTCCCTGCCCTCTACAAGTACAGTCACATCGCACAAGATGCCCTGCTGCCGTTGATCCTCCAGGCACAACATCATATTGGTACAGTGGACTTTGGATTCATATACGTACAGAGGCGTTGCTGCCTCACTATCTTGCTGCTTGCCTGTCGACATCACTCTGTGTAGCACCCTGCACAGAGAAAAGACACATGTCAGGACACAATATCAGTTAAGCTTAAACTATTTGTCAGAGTAACATTTTCTTTTTCAAAACACCAAAAAGAAGTAAATAAGTAAATAATTAAATTGGGATTAGTTTTGTTCAATACGAGTGATTACCTTTACAATCTTAAGGACATACCAATAAATATTTAGCCTGGTATTAAAAATACTGATCCGATACAGATACTTTGTACATAAACTTAATGTGTTTGGGGAAAAAAAAGTAGTCCATCCATCTTCTTCCGGTTATCTGGGGCCGGGTCTTGGGGCAGCAGCCCAAGCAGAGAAGCCCAGATCCCCCTCTCCCCGGCCACCTCCTCCAGCTTGGGGAACATCAAGGCGTTCCCAGACAAGCCGAGAGATAATCTCTCCAGCATCTCCTGGGTCTGCCCCGGGGCTTCTCCCAGTGGGACATGCCCGAAACACCTCACCCAGTAGGCGCCCAGGAGGCATCCTTGTCAGATGCCCGAACCACCTCAACAGGCTCCTTTTGATTTGAATGGCTGAACTCCTCAACCTAAGGGAGAGGCCAGCCACCCTTCGGAGGAAGCTGATTTTCGCCGCTTGTATCCGCGATCTCGTTCTTTCGGTCACTACCCACAGCTCGTGACCATAGATAAGGGTAGGGAAGTAGATCGACCACTAAATTAAGAGCTTTGCTTTTACACTCAGCTCTCTCTTCACCACAACGGACCGGATGATGACGGACGGAGCGTCAGCATCAGCATCACTGCAGCTGCAACGCTAATCCATCTTTCCATCTCCTACTCCCTTTTCGCATCACTTGTGAACAAGACCCCGAGATACCTAAATTCCTCCCCTTGGAGCAGAAACTCCTCCCTGACCTGGAGTGGGCACTCCACCTTTTTCCGACTGAAGACAATGGCCACAGATTTGGAGGTGCTGAATCTCATTCTCACCATTTCACACTCGGCTGCAAACCATTCCAGTGCAAGCTGGAGGCTGTCACCTGATGAAGTCAACAGAACCACATCATCTGTAATGTGATGAATAAAAGTAGTGTATTTCAAATTATACCTTTATAGTGAATACAAGACCTCAGACTATTTGTTGTAATAGTTTAATTATGAACAATTATCATGCAAAAAATAAAAAAACCCCGAAACATCAGTACCTACATTTTAAAATATGCAATTAACAGGCAAAAACAAATGTATACCTCCACACAATTGGTCATGTATGGAACTATTAGGAACAAACTTTCCACTGTACTCAAAAGTTGTTGCAATTTTTTTCAGCAGAATAATATAGTGAATAAAGTGAACTTTACCAACTAAGACATCTTAAATATGTCATTCTAGTACATTATTAATAGTTTAAGGTCCAGCAAAGAACCTCAGGTAACCTTCAGTAAATGTGAGTCAGCATTATTTATTTGTACATTCTGATATCGTTGATTTAAGTAACTGTTTAACCAATAACAATCCCTCTAATACAATGTCTCTCCAGCTTTTTAATCAGTAATCTAAGCTCTATTGTGTTAAATGGTTTTTACTTCAATAAACACTCCCAAAGTATATTTTCTGTTATCCAATGGATTTGCTATGTCTTCTGATAGCTGCCATACAGCTAAAGCTATTAACTATAGCAGACATATTTGCTCTAAACCAGTAATGTCAGTCAGTTAATAGACATTTATTGTTTTTTCTAGGAAACATGTTTCAACTCACTGACTGCAGACACATTTCAGTAGTTTTACTATACATTCTATGTTTTTCTTACTAGCCACATTTTAGTTCCAGTCCAATCAGTGGACTTTTGTAATTACATTTTTTACCAATATCAATTATTTCTTTTTCATTAACTCTTATAATAAAAAAGGAGTACTCCCTCCTTTAATATTTTTTAAAAAGTTTGTTGTTCTAGACTTACATGTATTAAAATCAAACTGCAAACTGCTTTACTGCTGCACATTTTCCTGCACCCTTTGACAAACACCTGGTCTATTCATGCATACAGGCACTTTAAAAAGGTTTTTTCAGTGAACTGTCTGAACACTTAGATGGCACACTTGTTCTTGGAGGCGACCTCAACCTTGGACTAAATGAAGAAATGGATAGGCTCAATACAGCAGGAACTCAGCGTAA